ACCATTCTCTTGGTTTTCCTCTCCCTTGGCACTTGCTCCTGTCAGTCTCCCCTGCAGGCTGGTCTGCTCCCTAACTTCTTATGCAGAAGTAGCCCAGGGCTCAGTGTCTCTATCTCTTCTACTTCCTGTCTCCCTCCAGTAGTGATTGCACCTGTCTCATTGTTTCAACTACCATCTAAATGTCAACAACTCCCAAATTTATATCTTCAGTCTAGAACTCTTCTCCAAAATTCTGAGTTGTGTATCCATCTTCCCACTCAACATCAACCACGGAGGTCTCACAGGCATTTCACTCTATACAGCCCAAACAGGACTCCCGATCATCTTTCTCCACCACTAGCATCCCAACTTTGACAACCCTTCCTTCTCCTATTTGATTGACAAAAACTTTGGGGTCAGCTTTAGCTATTCTTATTCCCTCATCCTCATGTCCTATGCATCAGAAAGTCCTGCTGGTCTTGCCTTCAAATGCATCCAGAATCTCACCACTCTCACTGCCTCCACTGCTAACACCCGCATCTGAGCTACCATCTTCTCACCTGGCTTACCACAGTAGCCCCTGCATCAACCCTTGCCCTCCTAACATCTGGTCTAAACAAAGATCATTATTAAAACTTCAGTTAGACCAGGTCTTGTTCTGATCAAGATCCTATAATGTTCCCCATTGTACTCTACAGTAAAGCCCTCGATGGCCTCCTCGGCCCAGGTGAGTTGGCTCCTCTTTGACTTCCTGTCCTAACAGTCTCCCCTTCCCCCGCTTCTCTCCAGCCATGCCGGTCCCTTTGATGCTCATCTGACATACCAGATGTGCTGCCACTGTGCAGCCTCTGCATCAGCTAGTCCCTCTCCCAACAACATTCATTCCCCAAGTATCCACCTGGATGAACTTCATTCAAGTCTTGGTTCAGATGTCACCTAGAAATAATGACTTTTCTAAGTACCTTACTTATACTGAAATTTACCCGCTAACTCCAATCTGTGGTTTCTCTTCTCCATAGCATTCAAGATCCTATAACATTACATAATCTACTTATTTCTTATGTTGTCATCTGTGTCTCTCTGCTAGAAATTTGACAAGGACCTTATCTGGTTTGTTTACAACATAAATGTTTCCTATTTGTTGAATTTGAACCATGGTATATAATGAATCCGTTGACTTAATGGAATAATCTCCAGAAAAGTACTTTTGTCATCAATGTTGGTATATTTTGATTTAAAAAAAAATTTTTTTTAGACTGAAACAAGGGATCAAAACCTCCTTAGAGTCCAAATGCTAGATGAGATAAAATAGTGATGTAAAAAATGCCCTGAGTCTACCAAATTGCCAGATTTTTTACATAACTCATCTCAGTATTGTTATGCTCATTGCACAGGTAAGAAGACTGCATTTCTAGATATTAAATGCTTACCAAAGACAAACTGACCTCAAACTTGCAATCTTTCTGCCTCAGCTTCCGTAGGCCCTGGGCTTACAGGTATGTACCACCATGCCCAGTAAATAGAAGTACTTTTAAACAGCATGCCCTATGTGTTAGGCCAAATAATGCCCCCACCCAATTCCACATTCTAATCCCCAAGCCTTGTGAATATGTTACCTTTCATGGTAAAAGCAACTCTGCAGATGTGACTGAGGGTCTTGATATGGAAAGAGGATTCTGGATTATCTGAGTAGGCCCAATGTAATGGTCATTATAAGAGGGAGGTGAGAGAGTCATTGGAAGGAGACATGACAATGGAAGCAGAGGCTGGACAGATGCCAATCTGCTAGGAGGCAAGGGGCCAGGGAATGCAGACAGCCAGTTGAAGCTGGAAAAAGCAGGAATGGAGGAATAGACGCTTCCTGCAGCTTTCTTGCTGATAACCTTGATTTTTATTCCCATAAGCCATTTTCAGACTTCTAACTTAATAAATGTATTGTTGTAAGTCAGTAAGTTTGTGGTATTGTGTCACAGCAGCAATAAGAAACCCATATACTCTAGAAATGTGGTGTCATAGAAATGATGAAGTCTCTTGATATAATACATGTCCTTTCTGCTCTTACCTGCCTTACAGAGACCACTATACAAGAACCCAAAGAAAGGTCTGTCCCATTACTTCCCTAAGTGACTTAGCATCCAGCAGGGAAAGACTTAAAGACCTCAGACCCCTCCCTTCCAGCCCCTTCCTCCTGCACAGTGTGCCAGCACTGATGTCCCACCTTGGGAAGGGACCAAGCAGCCACTCAAGCTACCTGTTCACACCAAGAAATCTGAGAAAGAAATGAAGTTAGTCATATTGTCTCCAGTATGTCCCCCTGATGGATGAGAACCATCAGTAGCAAAATCAGTTTTCAAAATAAGAAAAAAAAAAAAGAGCCATGAAGAGACCTCAGATTGTGAGAATAGCTTTTAATTTAAAACAATCGAAGCAATAAATCATCCATCTCTTTTCATCACAGGCAAATACTCTCCCAAAACATTTGAGATAGTTTAAACAACAACTGTGCCCAGTGCAAAATAAAATAAATAAAAACTCTTTCAGCAACCAACATCAAAACCTGCTGGGCAAGTGGGCACAGGCCACGGGTTCAGCCTCTGCCCAGGCCAAGAGAAACAGCACATCCAGAGCGGCAAGGTTAGCACAGCATTTCACCACGCCCAGCTTTGAACAGACTCAACAAGACCTGGCGGGGGGGTGGGGGGGGGGGTGGGAACCACAAGAGAATGTTGCCTAAATGAAACCACGATGCCCAACACCCTCGTGTGGCCAACATCCTTGGCACCTGGAAGATGCTAGAAAAGTAAGTGCAAATGTAGCAGCTCCTAGACAAAGCTGAAAGAAGGCAGTTTGGGGCTTACGTGTGTGTGTGTGTGTGTGTGTGTGTGTGTGTGTGTGTTTGGGAGGAAAATCTGCTTTCTGGAAGATGATCTGTGCCCCCACAGTGCTTCTGACTCCAGCAAAAATATTTGTGTCATTTCTATTTGGATGCTCTGCAGAATTACCTTCCTACCTATGGTATGGCATTGCTTATCTCACACCATGGGAGTTTAGAGTAGCACTAACAGAATAGCAACATTGCAACATACATCTAATTTAAAATTTTTTCACTAGACACATTAAAAACAGATTAAAATTGTTGACATTAATTTTAATATTTCATATTTCATATAATCAACATAATATTTGTAATCAATATAAACTAGTGATGAAATGTTTATATCCTTTTTCTGGTATGAAGCCTTCAAGATCCGGCACTGCATTTTATGCACACAGCACGATCTCAATTTGGACAGGCCAAATTCCAAGGGTCACTTGCCATATGTGGGTACCGTGCTGAATGAAAAGCACATATCTAGACAATTTCATGCAAACTCTTTCAGGACAATTTGTTGAGTAGAAAATCTCTATGATACTGTGTAGACAATTGTACACACCAACAGAGGAGTTCAGAACCTTCTGTGGCCTGGGCTTTTTTACCTAAAGGATAAAAATCACATGTTCATCTAATTTCATCCCCTGGTCCTGCCCCTGGTCCCAGCCGTCTCCCCACAGACAGTCTGAACTCAGATTTAGCAGCAGGGATGCCTGTATGAGGCAAATGACATTCCTTCTTGGACAGACACCTTTTCCAGCATACATATGGAGATCATAGTGATCTATAACCAAATCAGAAGTTTAAAATATTCTGCAAATGTTATGGACTTAACCAAAGGTCATTCTGGTGCTCTTCCAAGGTGGTATTTTGAATGGATTGTTTTCGTTTTTGAGAGGGATGATAGCAAAGTACCTCACAGACTAGAATGTTCTGAATTTCCAGAGTGGGGAAAAAAATGAGATGGTTACCAGAGAAAGGAGAGTAGAGCAGCAATAGAGATGACAATGACACAGGTCTTACATTGGGGTGTATAAATTGTAATAATCTAAAAACTGAACCTCTAAACCTCTAAGTGATCCCTACATTTCACATGTTTGATTCTGGTAGTGACCACAGGAAAATAACAATAGAATAGGATGTTAGGTCAGGAAGGGATTTCTGAGTTTTTCTGGTCATTTAAAAGACAAAGACCCAGAGAGGTCAAGTGACTCAGTCCCACCAGATGTAGAAGCAGAGCTGGGATACAAACCTGGGTGTTTTCTCTGTGTACTGCAGGTGAGGCTCTGGCTCAGGTAAATGATGCAGGGAGCCCAAAGTTTTTAAGCAATGGGGAAATGGCAGGCACATTCTCTTGTAGGTTTGAGAAAACAGGCTGGTCATTTCAAAAATACTGAAGCAATATTGATGTAAAATGTCATTAAAGCATGAATCTCTCCATAGTTTTCTCTGCATATGTATATATTTTTACTCTAAAAGAAAAATCCCACTCTGAACCAAAATGGATTTCTGATTAGTTATTTGGGCGTTTAGATCAATGGACAAAATAAAAAATTTTGATACATTATATTTTCCAAAGACATATTCATTGGGATTCTACACAAAGATATCAAAAGGTATTTACAGGAAGAAAGCGTTGTCTTTCGCACAGACACCTACATATAGTGAGAACTTCACAATTATACCACCAAGCCTCACACAGAGGACTCTTAACAGGCTGATCAGTTGACACAACCCACACGTTATTCCAGTTTTCCATCACAAATAATCTTGTCTACATCTATGTGTAATATTAAGCAGCACATTCCAGACTTTTATTCCAGGGAACCTGCTTATATATATATTAAGAGACACATATAAATACATTTTTCTTAAACAGGAAAGAAATCCATTGTTTCCTCCAGTTTTCTCCAAGTCTAGATCTGAAATAAAGAATAGCACATATACAAAACCTTGCCTTGTAGAAATAGCCCTTTGTTTCGTGAGACAGAAAAAAGGCAGCCGTAGTATACTTTCTTTACAGTATGTTTTAGGCATCAAAAGGGCTAAATGATGTTTTCTACCTAGGGAAACCAAATAATTTAGAGCCTGTAATCTTTTTTTTTTTTTTTTTAGAGCCTGTAATCTTAAGTACAGATTTTATGCCATTAATTTTGGAAAATTTTATTACAAAATTTTCAGTTTGTTCAAAATACACATGCTGTCTTTGTATACATTGCAATCTAAATTTGTCCCCTCCTGCCCCCAAAAGGCCTTTGGCTTTGCAACATCATTGAAAACAAGTCATTTTTGATGAGTATTTGGAGACATTATTCACAATAGTTGGCCCCAAGGGCACTGGATTTTGTAAGGCTACTTAGTGTGGGGATTCCCACCAGAGTCAGGGGCCTGTGCAAGAGAATGGGTCTGCTCAGGACCTCTGAGTCAACACCAGAAGGTGACACCATTGGGCACAGTGTAGTAGAGAATGCACCATGAGCTCCCCCCTTCTGCCAATCTCATCAGGCAGGGAGCATGCTCTACTGGACCCCCCGTGGGCCACACCTTCTACCTGTGAAGGCTCAAATCTCATCAGAGCCCCACAGCACGACTAGAAAGAGAGGGCAGATGTCATACACCATTGTGCAGATGAGGAGAGTGAGGCACAGGGAGGATAAGGCCTTGCCCACACCAGTCAGGGGCAGCACCCAGGTCTGAAGGTCATGGGCTCCAGCCCTCATCCCTCGCTCACAGGGCATAAATGATCTCCTGTGAGCCAGGGCCTGATCACCACCAATCCCGATTACTCCAGACTCATCACACATCCCAATCTCATGCCTGTGCTTCATTTCCCCCAATTGGTTCTGCTTTATTTTCCTACAGTTTCTAGAAAGATCCTATCAATTTGAACAAACACGGGTTAAGCGGACAGCAATTAATTCTTCTTCATTTGACTGAATAATCTGAAATAGAAACTCCAGAGACTCTGGGATTTGGTACAAAGCAGTAGGAAAATTATTCCTCATTTGTATTTGTATTAGAAACTCTGATATAATCCCAGGTTGCACCTAAAATACTTAAATAACCAAAATAGAAAGGGTGGCCTTTTACAATGACATATTAAGTGTCTTTGTATCACATTGTTGGTCATAGCCAATAAGCATTGAGGGCAAGTCAATGAGGTGACAAACCAAACAGGGCACAAACAAGACTGGCCCCAGAAAAGCATGGACAGGGAGGCAAGCAAAGAGCTCAGAGACGAGAGAATGACACACAAAGTTGGGGTGTAAAACATGATTCCAAGGAATTGCCACGTGGTGTAAGAAGAGAATAGCTATTCTAACTAAAAATAAACACTACACCTTTTGGGGAATGGGCTGCTAAGAAAAAGAGAATTCATCCACCTTTGGCAAAGGACGATCATAGGCTCCTGTGGACGTGTGGCATTATACCACCAAATGTCACAATCCCAAGTGAATTTCTCTTGAAAACACTTACAGGGGATAACTCAGCCCTTTTTACTCCTTAAAATCTAAGTGGGGAACTAATTTTTTTTAGCTGTTCCTGAGTTCTAGTTTTGTCAAAATAGTAACTTGCCTTTTCCAGATATGCTTAATACCAACTATTTAGCCTTCAAACGCCAACCCATCACAGATTTCCTAGTGGACTAGAAAGGTCGCACACTCTCGCTCACTCTCACACACATTCATACAGTCGTTATTATGAATTTTGATATGATTTAAATTAAAAATATCTTTCACTGTGGATGTTCTATTATACATGGATAGGTCAGAAATTATTGTGCGTAATGAAAAAGATTATGCCACAAGTAAAGCCCAGCCCAGTTGCTGATTTTCTGTATGAAACAAAATGTGGGCTTTTTATTTACTGTAGGTGAGGCCATACCATGGGCCTCATTGATTGATTTCTCTGGAGGCCACTATCTCTTGACCCCCAAAGCAAAACAGTGCTGATAGTAGGTGCCACACCAGCAATATGAATACCTTTGTTTATATCACCCTCTCCTTGAACTATGTTTATAAAAACTATCTACAATAGAGTATCATCACTAATAGAAATTTCTTCCCAATTCTATTTCAGAAGGTGCCAAATGATCGTGCTCTTTAAATAAACTATAAATACCCCATGTATTCCTTCATGTTGGCTTGTCCCAAATTTTTTTCTTTCTTTCTTTTTTTTTTTTTTTGTTGTTTTTTTGTTTTTTTGGCAAATTAAAAAGGCGTTATGGCTTCTTCTCGCCAATCCGTATGTGTGAGGTTTAGCTTGGTATCCTGCGGTAAAAGTACAGGTAGCCCAGGTCTTTTGGGGGCCTTTCTGAGGCACAAACTTTGTGGTCATTGTAGATCACCCATCTGAAAACAAAAGACAGGCATAGTTGATGGATATATGTCAGTTTCAGAACACTTTGCATTTTGCAGAAATAACATGATCAGATGGAGCATTGTACTTGAAATAACCAAGATGTGTAAGATAACCAAAGTCCAATTTATTGTGTAAAAATGAACAGAATCCTATTGGGGAATCACTATTGCTTTCTGATTCTTAAGCTCAATCAAACTGCAGTTACTAAATCTATCAGGATCCTCTAAATATTTTAGGCCCTTCATGCCACAAATCACTTCACAGAAATCCATAGGTAGACTCAGAAACTGAGGGAAAGAATTGTGTATGACAATGTTTATTTCAGTCTTAGGTATAAAACTAGCTAAGAAGCAGAGATAAATATCTATGCAGTGAACCATTATGACTACATTAAAATTTATTCTAAGAAAATTTGGTGAAGTGAGGAAATAATCACCATATAATATGAACATGTAATAGGGGTCACAATAAAATAAGAAAAGCAGGTCTAAAAATTATATGTGCTCTGTATACACTTTTAAGATATTACAAAAGTTGTAAATACACACATTTACATATATGTAGTATGTGTATATCCTCCAATGAGACCAATAAAAATATATTAAAACACAGACACTGACTATCTTTAGGCTTCCCAAGTGCACATTCTTCACATTTTTTTTATTTTACAAATTAATAACAATGAATTTTATTGCTTTTTAAATTATATTTTCTTTTAAAAAATTATTTTTTAAAAAATTGTCATTCTTGGCAATAAAAAGATTTCACTATAAATACTTGTCCCTGTGCTCAATGTTGATTTTTATTAATCAAGTTGAGAAGATAGGAAGGGCACTCAGGGGCACAGCAGGGACTGTAGGAAGGGCACCCGGGGAGGAAGTTCTGAAGAGAGCAGCAGCTTCACTCTCACTTCTCCACCCCTAACAGTCCTACTAAAGAAGCAGAGAAGCCATGCAGGGCTGCTGGAAGTTCACTGGAAGTTCAGGGTCACCAGGTCAAACACAGGTTATTCCACTAACTCCACCAGATAAGCAACAAATCATTTGTTAATATAAGTACGTCCCATGTAATATGGGAAGCATGCCATTCTTTGAAACATATTTATATTAAAAAATTATTCATTATTTATCTAAAATTTAAATTAAATATGGCATTTTGGTTTTCTCATTTTGTTGGCTAAATGCAGAGACCCTATGGGGGGTCCCAAATATGGCATGCATTCTGCTGCAGGATGCCTTTTTATTTTGGGAAGCTACCTTCCCAAAAGTACCTTTGGGAAGGCACTTTTGTTAAAAATACCTTTGAATATAAGCTCTGACACAACTATTTACTAAGGCCAAGTTATTCAGCCTCCTTAAGCCTCAGTATTTGGATATATAAAATGGTATGAAAAGACTACATTCCTGTAGACCATTGTGAAAACCAAATGAGATAACATATAAAGCACCAAGTAGAGTGCCTGGCACATAGCAGGGACTCAATAAATCACATCTAACATCCACGTTCTCTAAAAGACTCACCTTCCTTCCTTCTTTATATGGCAAACATAATGGCCACTCATTGTAGATGTTCCCATGTGACTGATGAATGCAAATAATTCGTACACTATGAAAAAAGAAATGATTTGGTTATAAGATAGCACTTCTAGAGTCAAAAGCACTTACCAACTATTGTGTAATCCAACAACTATAGATCTGAAAGACAAACTCAATATACCTTGCCATACTGACAATACACACGCACCCACACACACACACATACACACACACACATCTCCAAAGTGACAGCAGATTTTTACATGCACATTCATTTGACAAATACCGAACCTAAAATGTTAAAGTATATCTGATGTTAAATTCAAATCTGAAAGGAAATTTAAAATTTTACAGCCAAATCCAGAAGCAAGCTTGTGGGTCTAAAACTAGTAGCTCTGGCTCTGTCAATTCCAAATAGCATGAGAATGAACAAGTTGTTTCATCTCTGATCCTGTTTCTTCATGGGGGTTAAAAAAAAAAAAAAAAAAACACCCACCCACTTTGCAGGGTTGTATGAGACTTACATGAGCAATTCAGAATAAAAGAGCATACAAATGTCAGGATTACAAGGAAAATAGTTATTACCATTTTTAGGAAGAGATAATGCTCCATACAAGATGTCTGACTTGCTCATGATTATAACCTTTGTGAGAGCAAACTTCAGGATTCATGCTTTCTGAACAAGGAAACTTAGAGAATGAGACTAAGGTTGATTACCTAACTAGTACTTCCTGCCATCAAGTACAGTACTCTGCATCTAATTCTTGGTGAATCAATTTCAATTCACATTCCTTCAGCTAATCATTTTTAAACTTATATAGTATATAAGCATTTATAAACTTATGTAGTAATTTGTGAGCAATATTCATATCTGAATATAAGAAATTTTAAAATGGGCTTGTATATTCATTTTTCTTTTTTTAATATATTTTTTTAGTTGTAGTTGAACACAATACCTTTATGCCATTCATTTTTTTTATGAGGATCGAACCCAGGGCCTGGCATGTGCTAGGTGAGTGCTATACCGCTGAGCCACAATCCCAGCCCGTATATTCATTTTTCTAGTACTCGACTTTTATTACATTTTCCCCAAATTAAAAAGTATTGATTCTGGATAGACCCTTTGCTTACCCTTACTTCTATCATTCTTTCTCTCTCCAGGCTCATTCATTATTCAGTAGTCGATCCCTGGTCTCATCTTATTTGCTCTTCATCAGCATCATACACCCTGTCTATCAATTCCTCCTTCCTCAAGTGCTTGCCCCCAGGAAATGACTCTCCTGGCTGTCCAGCTGTCTCCCCTTCTTGTGCCTTATGCCCTTCCTGACCTTTGCATGTTGGTGACCTTCAGCTTAGACCCCAGACCATTTCTCCCTGCTCTATACAGACTCCTTTCTCTCTTTCTGAGTGATCTCATTCAGTCCCACAACAGTAAATGATACTATATATTTAATTTCATTTCTGCAATGTTATTGTTCATATATATAGAAATAAAACTGAATTTTGTATATTATCTTGTTTCCTACAACCTTGTTGAGCCCACTTATTAATTCAAGTTCTTTAATGGATTCCTTAGGATTTTCAATATACAAGATCATGTCATCTTCAAATATAGTCTTACTTAATAATCTGAATACCTTTTACTTCTTTTTCCTTTCTAATTGAATTGGTTAGAATTTCCTCTACAATGTTAAATAGAAATAGCAAGAGGAGACATCTTTGTCTTGTTCCTGATCTTAGGGGGAAAGCATTCAGCCTTTTAGATTAGGTGTCACATGAGCAGTGGGTTTTGGGTAGGCACCTTCAATCAAGTTGAGGAAGTCTCCTTCCATTCCTAATTTGTTGATCAGTCTCCCCTCAGCCTTATCTATTTCAGTCAATAACAATTCCATGCTTCCTGTAACTCAGGACAAAATCTTGATTTTCTTTTATATTCCTTATACCCATCCAGCCCAGCAGCAAATCCTATCAGTATTTCCTTCAAAATATACCCAGAACCCAATCATTTCTTATCATCTCCATTAGTAACCCCTAATTCAAGTCACCATCATCTCTAGTCTGAATTTTTATAAGAGTCCTTTAGCTGGACTCCCTTAAGCCCTACTGACTGCTCTCAGGATAGCTTCCAAGAGGTTTTGTTGTTGTTGTTGTTTTAATGATAATCAAATTTTGGTTTGCCCCCAAATCCTCCAGTGGCTTCCTATATCTTGCAGTAATATATTACTCTTGCAGCAAACAGCGTATAAAGCCCTGCCTTTCCCATCATTAACTAAGTTTCTCTTGCTGACCATCACATCCAACTGACAAAAAATATCCCAGGTTAGAAATCAGACACCAGGTACAAACAGTTGGGAATGACAATCCTTATGCCTGCTTCTTATTTTTTAAAAAGAGAACCAGGGACCTTACCCATGTCCATAATCTGTGCCTCCCATACTGCCTCAATACCCAGGAAAGGGTGTGGACTGAGACCTTTTTTGACCTCAGGTGGTTCTGAATCCCTTTCAAACAATTCTATGCCATGTTCTAACTCTAGTCGAGTTCCATATCTCTCCTGGACAGATACAGTGCAGCTTTCCCAAAAGGTAGCAGCCCTCTAAAGAATTTCCATTAATAATGAAGAGAGGATACAATACTCCAATCAAGGCCCTTCTTTCCCAAGTAACTGTTCCCCAAAACGATGACTTCAGCAATCCAGCAAAATGTTTAATGAACACTTCTGTCATAAACCAGCCTCACTCCAATGAAACGCTGCTTAGGCATTGACTCAGTCAGTGATGGATGAAACAGACCAAGAGAAAAGAACAAATCCAGAGCCTCTCAACACATCTACACCTTAGCCCACAAAGGCACATTCCCCTCTGAGGTTAGGAACAATTCTTGTGTTTGCTCAGAATCATAAAATTAAAATGTGAAAGTTTAGTATAAATCTCGGTCCCATAATTAATATGAACCATGTTTATCAACATCAGCAACTACCCTGTGCACTATTTAACACCACCTGCTAGTGACCAATAGATCTCTTTCAACACATTTGCAAAGCCTGAACAGGTAAAAAAAAAAAAAAAACCTGCCAATTTATAATTTGTTTCTAAGAAGAAAATCAAGGTGAATAAATGATGATGATGATGAAGGGTGAACAAGATGAGACCAGGGATCGACTACTGAATAATGAATGAGCCTGGAGACAGAAAGAATGATAGAAGTAAGGGTAAGCAAAGGGTCTGTCCAGAATCAATACTTCTTAATTTTGGGAAAATATAATAAAAGTTGAGTACTAGAAAAATGAACATGCAAGCCCATTTTTTTTTACTTCTTATATTCAGATATGAATATAGCTCACAAATTACTATATAAGTTATAAATGCTAACTCTGTTGCTATGCTATCTCATAGTTTGTAACTATTTGCTGAACAGACTGGTACTAGTCCATGGAGCCCACTTTATGTTATGTGGGAATCTACTATCGATTCTTCTCTAAGTTTCCAGAGCAAAAATAAAAAGAATGTCACACATTCCCAAAAATACTGTAGCAACTCCTTCTCTTGTAGATTTAAAAAAAAAAGGCATCTTGAGACAATATAAATACTTCAAAAATGTTGACTTCCAACAAGAAACTTTTGAAGTGCGTAGAAGTGGTAGACACACCTGACCACTATGTCCCACATCTCGTGAACACTGACCCTCTAAACCACCAGAATTAAACTGGATCTGAAACTAGCACTCTTCCTTCCCATAAAATGTGTCCTTTTTAAACTTTAAGAAAACTTTCTCAGCCAGGTGTAGTGGCACACACCTATAATCCCAGTGACTCAGGAGGTTAAGGAAGGAGAACCACAAAGTTCAAGACCAGCCTCTTGAACTCAGCAGCTTGGCAAGATCCTGTCTCAAAATAAAAATAAAAAGAGCTCGGGATGTGGCTCAGTGGTTAAATGCCCCTGGGTTCAATGCCTGGTGCAAAAAAAAAAGAAAAGAAAATCTTCCTAACTTTCTAGTAATAAAGATCACATTTTACCACTACCCTCCCTGCCCAACACAATAGCAACTGTATTCTGAGTTTGTTCTTTAGGGAAAGCAACTGTCAGAAAAATCCCAAGAAACTTGCAAGGTCAAAGAGGCAGGCAGCATGTCACTTCAATGTCATGTGGAGGAAAGTCACCCAGAGATCATCCACAAGAGGGAATTGCTAATGACACATTGGTCAAATACAGCCTACAGACTGTTTTTGTTCTGGTGAGAAGGAGGAGTAAATATGAGATAGACACATACATGGCCCACAAAACTCAACAGACTTATTATCTGGCCCTTTTAGAAAAAGTTTGCTGCTGCCTGGCTAGCAGATGAGCTTGGTTCAGCCACTGCTTAGTACTGATGAATGCACACAGACTTAGGAAGCCACTTGTTAACTACTAGATTTTTGTCTATTGAAGATACAAACAATTTCTCTCCAGGCAAACTCATAACCTCATGAGTTTGTGGTCCTGACAGACATTAATTCATATTTTAACTTACTCAGCCATCTTCTCCTAAAATTTCCTGGTCAAGTTGTCTGTACATATCCTAGCTTCTCAGATGTTGTTAAATAAGGTGTAACATCTGACTGGTTCCTCTTGAGCAAGTTAAAAGAAAACCTGTGATATGTGTTCGTTATGTTCACTTGAAGGTTATGATTTTGCCCTCTGGAAAATTATGGCTTTAACAACACAAAGGGAGGAAAAACAACTCTGGATTCCAGAGGGCCTTTACACGAATTCATTTTCACGAACCATTATAGCATCTGCATTCATTTATCAAGCAGTAATATCTCATCAGGGCATGATACGCTACTCAGTCCACAGGGTGTGCTTGTTGGGAGTTTCCCTGAGGATTCCCTAGGTTTTTCTAATAATGGGTCCATGAATGTAACATGGCAGTGGGCAAATTGCCAATGGGTGAATAACATGTAGTTTTCAAAATATGGTTCACCCATCTGGGCTTGTGAACAGCTCGTGACCCCCATGAATCTCATGCACCGCAGATGATGACCTGACCGTTACTATGATTGGTCCCAGGGGGTTCCTGTTTTAGGAT